TTTTTCTTTTTTGTATAACTGTGATTGCTTTTATTAAGGACTGTTTGGTTTTGTTATTCTTACTGATACTTTGAATCAAGGAGACTACATCCTGCAGTGTACAATATATGCATGTGGGCAACAACCTGAAGTCCATAAGGTATATGAGAAAATGAAAGCACTAAGGACCAAATTCACAAAGATAGTGAGGGAAATTAGGTAACTAAATACTTTGTGAATCTGCATCAGTAACTAGCTCTGATCAGATCCTGATTTACAAAAAGAAATCCCAAGGTCTCCAGATCATCACAAAACACACCACAGAGGCAGTCCTTTGTTTCTGGCCAGAAAGCATCTAGCCTACCATATGTTTCCCCCCACATTAATATGAGGAAACTCAATGTGACAAGCTTCATCAGACTATATAAATCTGTTCCACTGGCCTTTGATCTTGCGGACAAAGTGAATCTTGGTGACTAACCCTTTCTTAGGTCATGTGTCAGATCATTTTTAGATATGCTTGTACATGGGCACTTACCAGCAGTCTCCTGCCTTCTAAATTAGGAGGTGGCTGATGACTACCTTTTTTTCCCCCATTTCAATTACTTCCCCCTCTGTTGCCTGCTTCATTCGTAATTCCTCTCTAGGCATTTGTTAAGCCTGGACAAAAATTTCCATCTCTCAGAGAGACAAATTGTCACTGTTTGCACCCACCTTTGCTGTGTGATTAAGTGTGAGTGTATGTGTTAAGGCTGCATCTCGAGCCATCATGACTCTGTCTCTTCTGTCTGAATTCTTTATCTCATTCCCAGATGAGCTGCATGTCTCCCAAACACTCAACCTTTTCCTGCCATTCACAGCTCCCTTTCACACACTTCTCCCTACCTACTTCTTTACTTCCCCATTTCAGTCGGAATGAAATTCAGTCATGTCTTCTTAGCTTATTTACACAGACTCCATTTTAAATTTCCCAATTTTACTTTGGCTTCAGTTAAATATTTCTCATTTCCTTCCATTTAGCCAGTTTTTCCTTTCACTTCCAGATTAAATTCTCTCCCTTGCAGATAATTGTTTTTCCCTTTCCAAATGTCACCCAGAAGATCATCTCATAACCAGCATGTTGCATTAACTGTGCATTATGTGTGGCATGTAATGCTTTCCTGATTGTCTCCATATAATGCATCAGAACAATAAGGACAGTTTGTATAGCTCCTGGCACACCGTAGTTCTGACCCTGTTCTGGAGCCTCTGGATATCCTATTAATGTAAGGAGCTACAGAAGATCAGCTCAAATCTAGTGGGCTACTATCGTTTATTACTGTCTCCAACTCAGTTTGGAGACAATAGTCTCAGTTTATCCCATGGTAAAGCCAGCCAGCCAATTTCTGGTCACTGTTACATATGAACAGAAAGAATGCACACCCCCCCTGAAAAAAATGGTGCCTGAATTTCACAGAAAAGAGTGAATCCATTTGATCTGGCAGTCTTTGAACACAAGATGGGTGATCCTCCTGTGGCTGTCTCACTCAGTCTGAACCCCAGACTGAGAGCTCTTTGTCCATAAATGCAATCTTGCCCTTTTACACAGAGCAGTCACTGGCAAACTGCTCTTGAATTACACACTTGCAAGCTACCAGCCAAAGGAAAATATCTCACAATCATTTCAGACCCTCCAGTTCAGGGACTGACTAAGCCAAGTGGCTATTGGCCATTGGCACTGTCGGATGCATTCACAACCAACAACACATTATACTAATGACAGTTCCAACCAGGCTGCATGAAAAACAAAGAACCAAGCAAGATGTCTAGTCTATAATCTTCAGGGAGAAGGAGGGGAAGGAGGTGGCTCAAGCCATGTACAATAGACCCCAGAACTGCCAAAGTTGTACTGCTATACAACTGGTCTCTGTTTTGGAAGCAGCTTGACTCTTTCTTTACAACAGCTAGCTTTGTTGTTCAGAGTGATCACACTTAAGCTCCTGACTCAACTCTGCTTGCAACCATGTAAGGAGAATCTGTTACAACACACGTCTGATTCAAAACAGGCCCAAGGCTCTGGCACAGTTCTTAAAATGAAGCTTGGTCCTATCAATGCTGCAAAATGGAACTGTGCTGGCAAACTATTTTCAGGGACAAGCCATTGCATAGCTGGGTCCCCCAATATGGATGTACTGCTAGCAGAGACAAGACTGGAGCGGAAAGTGTTCCACTGCTGGGTAATCTTTATGCTTTCTGCACAGCCTTTATCCTCTGTTTTCTCTCTGTGAAGGACATTTTCCAACTGCCAAGAAATAATCATTCTAGCCTTCTTTGTATATCTTCACTCACAATGTTTAGTGCCTTAGTGCAGTGAGGGCCAACCTTTTTGGCAGGTGTGCCACAAATTAGCTGTAAACTCTCCCCATGCCCCACTCTAATTCCCTTCCCCTGCCTGATGTGCTGCTCTGCTTTCTGCTCCCTGTCCTGTGCTCCCTGCCTAATCTGCTCTGCATTATGCTCCCTGCAATATCTGCCACTATGCTGCCTCTCCCCTTCCCAGTTTGCCAGCTCACATACACAGAAGCTTCCCTTGACAGTTGTGGACCTGTGCCACAGGTTGCCTACCCCTATCTTAGTCCATGAGTAGACAAACTGAACTATTTGCTATTCAGTTTTTAGAAAGGTCTCAGAATAAAGATCTCCAGATCAATCAAAAATACTTCTCACTGTATATAAAGTGTGAAACATATCTGAAACAAAGATAAGCCCAGGCAATGAAGGTAAGAAGATGCTAGACAAAAGGTTGAGAGTTCAGGTGTGAGTTTGAGCTAGGCAAGGGGTCTGAAGCAAGGTTCCCTCCAAGCTGCATACGTGCATGGCTGTGCACGCTTTAAAACCATGCCGTGCACAAACTTACCAATGCCGCGCACCCACCCGGAGAGGAGCTGGGCTGTGGCTTCCCAGAGAGGAGTTGGGCAACAAGCTGGGCACAGAGCGTGGTGGAGGCACCGAAGCACTCCAGAGTTCAAAACCATCAAAGCATAGTGGGACGTTTTTGCAAGATTTATGTGCCAAATGGTGAATATTTTGCAAGAGCATGAGTTTTTGCAACCCTCTCTGCCCTCAAATGACAAGAATTCTATTAGGTCAACCATTCTTGGGAAACATTGCACATTCTCTGCCAACTTCTGTCACTTCTGAAATGGATTCATAAGATATGTCATTTCTGTTTTTCCATCAGAATCTGAAGTAGGTTCAGACCTGGAGTAAGGAGGGTTTTGAATCTGAAACACTCATGTTCAACATCAGATATACTGGTTTGGTGTCCACAACCAGTTTAAAAGCTATGACTGAAACGTGTACTCTGCCAGCGACTGTGGCAGCTGTCTTCCTGAAAGACATCCTCAAAATGGAGAATAAATGTCAGAGGGAGTCAAACAATTCTCTTCCTAATCAAATGCACACAGACTTAAAAATTACTGGGGTACTCCCTTATCAACTGCCAGATTGTGGGGTCAGAGGTGATATCACTGTTCACAGGATGGCTGCCATTAGTAAAATGCCTGTATTGAAAGATCAAAAGTAATGCCTTTATGCATGCTAACTTTTATAATGCTGTCTGGAGCACAATGGGTTTTGCTCTCTTAATCACATACAAATTTGGCTGATTTACTACCCTGCTTCAATACATTATTTTCTACTTCGCAAGATCACCATTGCTTCCAGGAATCTGCTTGTGTGATAAGATCATGAATGTAATGTGCAGTTATTGTAAGAGACCACACATTTCACAGTAAAATTGAGGAGACTGATTACAACCATTCCTTTGGAAACAAGAATAATCACATGATAAGACAGTGCTAATGGGAATTTATCATCTCTTCATCACATGTGAAGCTTAGAGAAAGCAGTGACACTAGTCAACTGCACAGTTATTATTGGAGATGACTGTTCCAACCAAAGTACTACTGGGGACTCTAAACAAATAACAGGGGATTGGGGATTCTGAATAATCAAATCTAAGCCAATTTGTATGCTGCAAATAACTTGTGGAACAAAAATCGCATACAATAGCATTAATGTTAACCAATGTAAATTATTTTCTCTGCACATAACCTAATCTTCCTTTACACACACATACACACTCTCTCTCTTTCAGAGCTGATAGTGATCCACTACTATGTTCTGGCTGTTTTTTGTCACCAGCACGGCCCAAAGTAACTAGAGTTTAAGAGCACATGTATACATATACATACACATACATGCCATTATACTCTGCATGTGTGCATAAATATATATATACAGACAAGGTTCTTTGGATATATCCAATATCTTTTATTAGATCAATTCAAATGGTTGGAAAAATTCTTCTTAGCAAGCTTTTGGGCACAAACACCGTTCATCAGGCTGAGATATACGTAGTGCGCGCGCGCACGCACACACACACACACACACACACACACACACACACACACACAC